GCAGCAGTTGCAGTCTTGCAGAACCTCCTGGTCAGTGTAGCGGTCACTGGAGAAGAAGAAGGAAGATGAAGGCCCTTTTTTTTTGTTCAGGCTTCAGTAAATATTAAATTTTAGGCCTATTATTATTTAGCCCAAATGTCAAATGAATTTATCCAATGTATAATATGTATTCAACCTGAACCCGTTACCCATTTGGCCATTTCAATCGTCCAGCAGACGCAGTGAGCACTCAGGCAGGAAGGAATGTGAATTTCCTCCAAATTGCCAAACACTTTTCCTCAACCTCACTTCTTCTTTCTCCAAATTCACACCACACGACCTAGCTCCAGACTCCAGGAGGCAGACCGAATAAACAACAGATTCCATCAAAGCATTCGCCGCTGCCTGCAGGCTACAGTGAACGTCGAAGTACTGACTGTCGAACACTCGAACCGCTGACCGGACAGTGAACTCCATCAGGCATTCAGACTGATGACTCTTTTTTTTCCTCTTTATTTTTTTTTGTTTTGGTGTTGTTCTATTTTGTTTGGTTATTTTGCTTTTGTTCGATTTTGTTTTGCCCATGCTACTAGGCCATTGGCTATTGTCATTGTGAGTCTGCCTATCTTGTTTTGATTTTGTTCTATCTTGGAGTTGTTGATGTTGATTGTTGAGCATTGAATAATTTAATATTAATTATCTTTTGATTTATTCATTTGGGAATTTAAGTTTGCGAATTGTGACTTATGAATTATGATAAGTAATTTACGTTTTATCATGATGAGTTATGATTATTGATTTGGGAATTTATGTTTACAAAATTGTATTTGTGAATTGTTATTTATGATTTATGATAAGTAATTTATAATTTGATGAGGAAATAGGATATTAGGAATGATTATTGATTTGGAAATTTACGTTTAGGATGACATTTTGCAGATTATAGAACGATTTTTTCAACCAAAACGAAAGTCCATACCCAATTCTTCTACTTCTAGTTGTGCATCTAGTCCCGCCACTGATTCTAGTCGAGCGCAAGAGTTATTAAATAACACAAAGAAGTCTCGGGCTCAAATTAATGTGGATGATCTTTTATCTAATTCAGGGATACGCCCCCTATCGAATCATATGATCCTAATATCAGAGATGTTGTTGAGATGGCATACTTGGATAAAGGTCCTTGTCAACCATATAGACAAGATTTTCCAAGAAGACCGATGAGAAATGATAATAGATGTTTTCGAAAAGAATGGTTCTCCGAATTTCATTGGTTGGAATACAATATAGAAAAGGATGCAGCGTATTGTTAGCATTGCTACCTATTCAAACCCGATAGAGGGGGTCAAGGGAGTGGACATATATTTACTAAGACCGACTTTAGGGATTGGAAGCACAAAATGACATTGAAAGATCATGTCAGTCTCTTTGATAGTTCTCATAATCAAGCTTTTGCAAAGTGTACCAACTTGATGAATCAAAAGCAAAGTATCTCTTACGTTATTTCTAGCCAAAGTAGTAGTCAACAACAAAGTTATAGGACCAGGTTGACTGCGGTGCTAGATTGTACTAGACTCCTCTTGATGCAAGGATTGTCATTTCGTGGTCATGATGAATCGAAAGAGTCTCTTAATAGAGAAAATTTAATTGAGTTATTGAACTGGTATGTAGCTCGTTGTAAGGTAATTAAAGAAGTATTATTTAGTAATGCTCCTGAAAATGACCAAATGACTTTACCAACCATCCAAAAGGATTTGGTTAATTATTGTGCTGTAGAGACGACAAGGGCTATTTATCAATGAGATTGGTGATTTTTTGTTTTCAATTTTGGTTGATCAGGCTCCTGATAATTCTGTGAAAGAACAAATGACAGTTGTTTTAAGATTTGTTGATAAAAGTGGGCAAGTGAAGGAGCGTTTTTTGGGTATGTCCCATGTCACTGATACTTGTGTCCAATCATTGAAGGATGCCATTGATGCAATATTTTCTACACATGGGTTGAGCATATCTAGCTTGAGAGATCAAGGCTATGATAGAGCAAGTAATATGTTAGGTGAGTTCAATAGGTTGAAAGCTTTAATTCTTAGAGAGAACCCACATGCTATATATGTTCATTGCTTCACTTACTTGCTTTAGTTGGCAATTGTATCTGTAGCACGTAGGAATTGTATGCTTGGTGATTTTTTAGACGTACTTGCTATTATTGTGAATTTGGTTGGTGCATCATGTAAGCGTGTAGATGCTCTTCGAACAAGTTATCAAGCTAATATTTTGGAGAAGCTTAATGTTGGGGAACTTACTGGTGGAAGTGGTCAGTTTCAAGAAATGAGTTTGACACGCCCAGGTGATACAAGGTGGGGCTTACATCTATTGATAGTTACTCGTTTAATTAATATGTTTAATGCTATTATAGATGTTCTTGAGAATTTATCAGAAGATGGCGTACATTCAGATAAAAAATCTTCGGCCTTAAGATAGATGAACAATATGCAAGATTTTGAGTTTCTGTTCAGTCTCCACTTTATGTTTGAAAATCGTACAATTACAGACGACCTTTTACAAGCCTTACAGAAAAAGGATAAGGATATTCAAAATGCTATGAGGTTATTGAATTTGTGTAAGTGTGCATTGCAAAACTTGAGAGAGAATGGTTGAGATACTTTGTTCAGTAGGGTGATTGAGTTTTGTGTTGATAGACATATTTTAGTGCCCAATATGGAGGATATTGTAGTAGTGAAAGGTCGGCCTAGGTGTGTAGCTCAACAGGTGACTTATTTTCATCGCTTTTATGTTGATTTGTATTGTCATGCGATAGACTCAATCTTGCAAGAGTTGAATGATCGATTTCCAGAAACAACTACCAAGCTCTTTACTTGCATTTCATGTTTAAGTCAAAGAGATTCATTTGCAGCTTTTGATAATGATAAATTGCTACGTCTTACTCAGTTCTATCCTTTGGACTTCAATAGTGAAGAACTTTTCAGCTTGATAAGTTTCTTTTGCTTGTGAGAATGGACGAAACTTTCTTTAATCTCAATAGTATATTCCTTGTAGCTCAGAAGTTGGCTGAAACTAGAAGTTCTTGACATTTTCCATTGGTTTATAGGCTGCTAACCTTGGCTTTGATATTACTTGTGGCAACTGCAAGTGGTGAAAGTGTATTTTCTGCTATGAATCTAATCAAAAGTGATTTGCGCAACAAAATGGGAGATGACTGTTTGAATATCAATTTGGTGGTCTAAGTGGAGAAAGCTATTTTTAAAAAACTTGAGAATGAGGCAATATTGCAATGTTTTCAAATCATGAGACCCCGTAGAATGCAGTTATCTAAGTTTACAGTTACAGAGTAACTAAGTAAGGTTGTATCATTTATTTTTTTAAAATTTTGGGTTGTATCGAAGCATATTTTCATATATATACAATTTTGACGTTTTAATTCATTTACATAAATGATATATATTGAATAACTTTTAATATTATGTAACCAAATTTTAATAAACGATTGGACAATTACAATTGTCGACGGTCAACGACCAATCCGCCCTAGCTGGAGTTGGATCCTGAATTCGCCGTTGAAAACAAGCGCTTTGGTATCACTTATTTTGACTACTCTAATAAGCCATTGTTAAACTCTATCTCTGTACAACATAGAAATTGGCGTATAAGTCACAAAAGTAATTAGTTTCATAGATCATATCTATAATCTAATCTGGCATATAGTATAATAGAAATAAGATGATGAGAAAAGGGAGCAAAAGCAACCGTTCAGGGACTTAAACCCAATATTAACACCTTTCATGTCTATCAAAACGTAAGAAATTCATAAGCACATTTGTGCATTGCTTAACCATCGAATCAACAAGAAGGGTAAAATAGAAAGTTAAAAAACAAAACAATTTTTTAATTTTTTAATACCAAAAAATGATGGTCATTTTTACTGCTATTTTTTAAATTGGTTCAGCATGGTAGTTCTTTTTACATGCTATTATTTGATTGAAACTTTTATTGTCTAATGATTTTTTATTTTTTATTTTTTTGATGTTTTTGTTGGAGATAAAGTTTTTCTTCTAGACATTCTATAAAATTTTTATTAAATAATTTTTCTCTTGGTAAAAAATAATAAATTTTTCAAAAAAATAAAATAAAATTGTACTACATATTAAAATGTCATCTTTAACTAGATGAAAAATAAACATTTGTTTCAAAAAAATTAAAAGAACACTGCAAGAACAAGTTAAGACAACAAGTAAAGAGCATAGCAAAATATAATAAAAACAATGATGAAGTACGTTGCAGAAACACAACAACAACGTGATTTGAGACCTTTTGAAACATGACTGCACATTGCCATATCTTTCTAGTCTAGGAATATACGAGTGAGCGTTGTGAAAGACTTAAGTATACATTTTTTTGTCGGTTGCAAAAAATAGTTTTTCTTGTAGCGAATTTTTTGTCCATCTATAGAATTTTTAGCAACAAATATTCCTTGTCACAAAAAGTAGACTCTATTGCATCACAAACACTTTGTTGCAAAAATAAAAGTTTGTTGCCATAAATTTTTTACCAAAAATATTTTTGGCATTTTGCTTCTCTCATGTTTTTTGCAACAATCTTTATTATTTGTCGCACCTTCTCACATTTCACGACAGCTTTTAATGTCGCCATATATTTTTTGGTACTTATTTTTTTTCATATCAATCTTTGCGACAAACTTAAAAAACGCATTGCGCTAAATCACTTATTACGATAACTTTTCGTATATCGCAAAATATCTTGTCATAAAATCACACTTTGGTTGTAGTGTTAGCCTTGGTATCATGAACATCGAATGGCCATTATTCGCTAGCCGTAAACTTACTGCTCAAACGGCAGGATTGTCGCATGCTTGCTAGCAACTAGCCCTCGAGCACTGACAACAGGGACTCTATTGCTCGCTAGGCGCCAGTTTGACGCTTGAGCAGCAAATTCATCCGGATATTTGTTAATTTTTCAAATTTTTTTTAAAGTAACAATCAAATTTAATTTTTGGTACACTTAATTTCTTTCGGATGTCTAGTATTCTATAATAGATTAGTTGAAACAACATGTTACTAATGTAAACTCTCGTGTAAACTAATTTATTCGAAATATTAAAATGATTGTGTATATGTAATTTATGTGGGTATTGATCGGCCCAAAGGAAGGTCAATATTTCACTGAATTATATGCACACCCGTGATAATAAATATGTGACGATTATAAAATTTTTCCATTATGTGAACAATAAGCAGGTCTAAAGATAGATTTAATGTTTGACAAGACTTATTGTCAATATTTGATTACCAATCCAAGAATATTACTCACAAGTTGAATTTTTGTCCAAATACTATTGTCAATGTTTTGCTTTATCTCTTGTGATGGGTCCACCAATTCATTAGTTGTTTGATATGAATTCTCATGTGATCATGTCTTTTTATTTTTATTTATTTATTCAGTTAATTTATCTATTTTATAATATTTGCCAACATCAACTCTATTCATATGCTTAATGGAACCAACATTAACAACTGAAAAGAGAACGTTCATATCATTTTTGGCTGCATAGATCTAAACCTTACTCTAAGGACTAAACAACTTGTTGCACTTACGGATAAAAGCTTCGCTGATGAAAAGAAGAGAAGACTCTTCGAGAACATGAAAGGATCGAAAACTTGATCATAATGGGCAAAAACGAACTTGTAACATTCAAAGAAGAGGAAATTAGCATACAATTCCTCGACTTTATCAATTGTCCAAAAATTGGTCTTGTGATTAAACCTTTTGAGGAGATTGGATGTTGCGAACCCCGTAGCAACGTTGACTACGAAACCCACAACGAGATTGACGAACCCAAGAAAGTCAAATTAATCCAAAAGTTTAGGATTAATCCAAAAAAAAGTCGAACCAAAAAACTCTACAAGAACGACGCTTGAAAGACCTCTTCATCACGCAATCCAAGAATTGAATCCAGTTGTTTGAACGCCACAAGTTAACACTTGATAAGTTCGAAGTTGTTCAATGAAGAATGATGAAGAGAAGACAATACACCTCACTTTAATTCAATATAAAAAATGTCTAAAGTTCTTAACAATTGAATGAAAACTTCTATTTATACTAAACCTAAAAACTAGGTAAAAATTGTGCAAAAGTCGATCATAATCCCTAAAATATGGAAAAGAATCAAAAAGTAACAAAATATGAAAAATTGCCAAAATTAGAAAATTCGCCAAATTTTTTGCCTATGCGACCGCGATGTTCTTTTCTATGCGATCGCATAGTTTAATTAAGTTTCCCCCTTTGAGTTTCGGTAAGCCTCCATGCAACCGCAAGCCTCATAAGCCTATGAGGTCGCATAGGCTTCTCATTTTCCTCCGTCTTCGGCCTTCGATATTAAATTGATCCAAGTTGATTCGGCCTTCGACCCAAATATGAAAGTTGCTTCATTTTGAGTCTCGAACATGATTCCATCAATGGTTTTTTGAACGAGCAATCCCATTGCTTGTTTCACTTACTTTGCTCTTGATCGCATCATTAGTCCGCCATCGACTATCAACGGGTCTCGTCTTGAACTTACCTTTGTCGAGCTCGACTCTCGGGTCATATCATCTCCTCCCTCTTCAAAAGGAGTCATCCTTGAATCTGAACTTGCATCAAATAGAGAGAGATTAGATACATTAAAAGTAGTCGAAACATTATACTCACCTGGAAGGTCCAACTTGTATGCATAATCGTTTATCTTTTCAATAACTTGAAATGGACCATCGCCCCTTGGTTACAACTTGGACTTCCTTTTCTCCGGAAACTGCTCCTTCCTAAAGTGTACCTAAACCCAATCTCCTGGCTCGAATGTCACGCGCTTCCTACCTTTGTTCGCCTGTGACGCAACCAACTTACTTTTGTTTTCAATTTGTGCTTTTACCTTTTCATGGAGTGACTTAACCAATTCCGCCTTCTTTTTGCCATCTAAACTACCACGTTCATTCACAGGTAAATGAATTAAATCCAAAGAAGTTAGTGGATTAAAACCATATACAATTTCAAATGGAGAACATGATGTAGTAGAGTGAACAGTTCGATTGCATGCAAATTCAACAAATGATAGACACTCCTTCCAAATCTTCAAATTTTTATTGATTACTATGCGTAACAATTGTGTCATAGTCCTATTCACTACCTCGATTTGTCCATCCGTTTGTGGGTGACAAGTTGTGGAAAATAGTAACTTAGTGCCTAACTTACCCCAAAAACTCTCCAAAAGTGACTCAAAAATTTGACATCCTGATCCGACACTATACTTCTAGGAACCCCATGTAAACGCACAATCTCTTTAAAGAATAAGTCAGCAATGTTCGTGGCATCGTCAGTTTTGTGACATGGTATAAAATGTGCCATTTTACTGAATCTATCTACAACCACAAAAATAGAATCCCGACCTCTTTTAGTCCTAGGTAAACCCAAAACAAAGTCTATCGAGATATCAACCCAAGGCTCATTAGGTGTAGGTAAAGGTGTGTACAAACCTTGAGGTAAAACCTTAGACTTGTCCTTTTACAACCTATGCATCAATTACAAATTTGCTCGACATCACTTTTCATCTTAGACCAGTAAAAATGCTCCTTCAATACATCTAAAGTCTTTTGAACCTAAAGTGTCCCATCAATCCACCACTATGTGCTTCCCTTACTAACAACTCCCGAATAGAACAATTAGGAACACATAACCTATTTTCCCGAAATAAATACCCCTCATGCCTAAAGAACCTATCAACCGCCCCTTTTATGCATGAAAAAAAATATCCGAAAATTCAACATCTTTTTCGTACAATTCCTTAATATGTTCAAACCCAAGTAGCTTAGAATTAAGAATAGTTAGCAATACATACCTTCGTGACAACGCATCCGCCATCACATTTTCCTTACCTTGTTTATACCAAATGACGTATGGAAAGGTCTCAATGAATTTCATTCACCGTGCATGCCTCTTGTTCAATTTACCTTGTCCCCGCAAGTGCTTTAGTGACTCATGATCGGTGTGTATTACGAACTCCTTCGGCCATAGATAATGTTACCAAGTCTTCAAAGCTCGAACAAGTGCATAAAGTTCTTCGTCATATGTAGGATAATTTAAAGCAGCTCCACTCAATTTCTGACTAAAGTATGTAATAGGCCTCCGATCCTACATTAAAACTGCTCCAATCCCTATTCCTGATGCATCACGCTCAATC